TAACATTCAAAAACGCACCCCCGGTTCGACCAAAGTTAAAAGGGAATTTTTTCGTGACGCAATGGGTTTTTTCGAAAGGAGATGAGAGCAACCGTGAGAACTCGAGACAGGTGTTTTGTAATCATTTATCTAGACTCACAATTAAGCTACCGTGTTACGACGGCGCGATTGGGGGGCACCCTAATCACCAAAACTGAGAAAAAACCAGTGAAAGCTGACCAAAAATGTCAAATGTTTGGAAAATATTCAACTCTTTCAACATATTTTCCTGCAAACCCGCATCGTGCAACATATGTAACACATAATTATCAACTTATTAATGCAAGCTTGAAAAATTCTTTTTTTGGTGTTATATCATCATTCCTGGCATCTCGGCGAGGGACAAGTAAGGAGAGACGGCTTCTCACGGCATTTATGAATTATTTATAGAAAAATCTTGTGTTTGGCATTTTTGTAAACTTGGATTTTTTCTATTTTGGGTGATTTCATGCCAAAATACAATAAAGTAGTAGTGGACTCACCGCACGTGTTGCATACAATTTTTTCAACAACTAATTAAAATTCACTACACTAATTTATATTCCAATTAGAAATTATCAAGTGTCGAGTCTACCAGCATCATTCCACTCTCTTTTCATCTCCGAGATCTCAATCTTGTGGAATGTTTTTCGAAAAGCGAGTCGTGACTTAACATGAAAGAGCTTCCGTCATTGCAAAATTGACTAACACTCACTAGCAATCTCCGATAAGGACTGAATCGTTTGCAGTATTACCCCATTTATTTATAATACTCCAGGGGTGATTTTGGCCAATGGAAAATCGGAAGTAGGAAGCGATGGCACGTGCCAGGGGGTGACAAGACCTGTGGGAAAAAGGGGACCGCCGGGATGATTATTATTCAAATGAAGCGACAAAATGATAATAGTATTTTATATCACAAGGTAGAGATTGCGAAGCATCGAATGCAAGGTCATCAAAATCTTCTCTACTGTGTTTTTATGTAATATTTCTGTCACTACTAGCACATTTATTACTCAGAAATACAACGGTCAATAATATAACTTTATCCGAGGGGCCGTTAACTCTGAAAATAAGTTGTACAAAGTAAAATTACATATTAAAATTATATTTGATTGTTTGGAATTACTGGAATTTGTCTGGAATTATTTGAAATAATCGGAGATTATTTCTTTTGAAAATACCGTTGAATTTCTCGAAATATGTATAGGACTTATGTAATTTAAAATTACAGAAATTATGTAATTTGGAAATTACCGAAATTAAGTTGGAATTAATTTGAAAACTTGCGATTTATTATTGGAATTACTGGAATTTCAGTAAAAAAATTTGGAATTACGTTTCTACCTAAAATAATTGGGAATATCATCAGAAATTATTATGGAATTAAGTATAGGAATTAATCTGAAAACAATAGAACAACGGTGGATTATCGGAATTTCAGTAGAATTACTGGAATTTGTCTGGAATTACTGGTACTTTTTTTGGAATTATCGGAGATTATTTCTTTTGAAAATGACGTTGAATATAGGAATTAATTCAAAATTACAGGAATTATGTTATTTGTAAATTACGGAATTTAAATTGGAATTAATCTGAAAACAATGTAACTGTGATGTATTATTGGAATTACTGGAATTTGGGTAAATTTTTTTTGGAATTACGGAGAATTAAGTAAAATAATTTGGAATATCATCAGAAATTATTTTGGAATTAAGTATAGGAATTAATTTGAAAATTAGAATTACGGGGGATTAATGAAATTTCAGTAGAATTACTGAATTTTTTTGAAATTACTGAAATTCTTTTTCAATTTTCTTTTGAAAATTACGTTCAATTTCTTAGAAATATAGGAAGGAATTAATTTAGAATTACCGTAATTATGTAATTTGGAATTACGCAAATTAAGTTGGAATTAATTTGAAAACAATTGCGATAAAGATTTTTTGGAATTACGTAGAATTAAGTTGAAATTACCTAAAATACTTTGATTTTTTTGGATTACTAGAATTTCGGTGAATTTTGTTTGGAACTGGAATTAGTTGTATACATTTTTTTTTAAGTTAACAGCCCCTCGATTTTATCTAATGGACATGTCGTATTTCACAATTATACTATTTTTGTTAATTCACAATTACCTATAGTATACTGATTTATTACTTAAGTTATTAAGTAAGGTTATGTCATTTTTGTATTTTTGTATCTATAAAAATAATTTTCTAACTTAATAATATGAAATATTTATTACAATACCAAAGTAATTGAAAACAAAAGGGAAAAAGTGTTAAAATTTGCTCCACTACCGGTGGTATTTTAACATGAAATAAACCCATTTATTGTTTTGACACTTTTGACGTAAACAGAAGAATTAGAGATGGGATTATTCTGTTTTTAATGAAGAAGTTGAAGTCTTTTTTATTTGATTTTGCATTACCTAATTTTATCTTGAAATACTTCCGATAGTAGGTACTTGTGGCAATAATAGTTCTAAATAATAATAATCTAGGTATACAGGGTACGCCAGTACTAGCGTTCCAGAGAAAAAAAATAAGATTCCAAAAACATGGAAAAAATTTTATCTAAAAAAATTTCGAAGTTATGAGAGTTTAAATCTTGCACTTTGACTTTATTTATTTCTGTTGGATTTTTTTTGCTACAGGCTATTATGTCAAATGTCAAAAAATAAATGTCAATTTTTTTTGACAGATAGAATATTGTAAAATTTTTGCCATGTTCCTGGTATCTTATCTTACTTAAATTTTTTTCTGTGGGGCGCGAGTTCTGACACATTTTTTTATTTGTATCATCCAGCTTTAATTCATTATTGTCCTTGGTCTATAATGACAATGAGAGAAAAACAATTTCACAATCGCGACAAACTAAATAAATTTTACAACTAGTAAAAAAAATAATTATCGCGGTTTAATTAGAGTGTCAGTTTCGTCAGGACCACACACGGCTATTTTATTATCTAAACGATCTGCATTTGCTTTCTCAAATTGATTTTTTACTTAATTATGCGATAAATTATAATTAAATTCACAGAAATATTTTTATTACAAGCAAGTTTTTTTGAGTCACTGCGTATTGTAATTAATCCAGCCCATCTGTTTGCAATAAGTCACTTTCAAGTACGCAAACCCTCTATAATTTCGCACCAATTATCCAATTATCTTAATTACCTTGAGCCATTAATTCGTCCCAATCTCCCCAAAACCAATACAGCAACCGTTTCCAAGCGTAAAATTGGATCTAAACGAATTTCATTATAAACTCACACGGCCGTGAAGGAGTTTGTTGCGATGGTGCGGCGCCAGAGGGCTCTACTTGACGGGTGACTACTTGATTGTTATCTCCGGGAAAAAAACCTGAATTATGACCGTTTGGAGACAGTACTCAAAAACTTGCACCATTTTTAATTACAAATTTAAATTGAATTCATTTAGGATTTTTGTTTGGATGTGTCGTAAATAAGCTTTACGGTTGACGGAGTTACATGAAACGGTGATTAGCGGCGAGCGAAAAACTTGAAACTAATTGATGCTGAGAGATTTATTGGAAACACAACTTGAAGCGATCGCTAATTAAATCCACTTTGTATTATTCCAAAAAATAGATAAATAAATTGTGCACAAAAAGCGGCTTCAATCAAGTTTATTTGTCACTTTAAATTAATCAAAATAGAAATTTAAGTAAATATATATTTTTCCACTTCAATACCGACGCCACTGTGTAAACACTCAAGTGTCATTTATTTTCGTTTCCATGGCGACTTTGCTACTTTTTCCGATTTTTGTTGTCATCACTATGGAAACGACTCCGTTTCCATGACAAGTCTTGTTGTTTCTTTTCACATAGGTGTAGAATGAGGCGTTTGAAATAGGGAATTTTTTCGAATAAAAAAACCGTTTTTATGCAAAATGTCTTTCTCAGGGGAAAATAATAATTTTTGCGATAATATTGGCGTAATATCGGTGTAATTATTGTCCCTTTCTCTCTCGCATCTAAATTAATGAAAATAGAAATTTTATTAAATCTACATTTTTCCACTTCTATGGTTGTTGCGATACCGACGCCACTGTGTAAACACTCAAGTGTCATTTATTTTCGTTTCCATGGCTACGTTGCGACTTTTCCCGATTTTTGTTGTCATCACTATGGAATCCATGACCAAATCTTGTTGTTTCTTTTCACATAGGCGTAGAATGAGGCGTTTGAAATAGGGAATTTTTTCGAATAAAAAAACCGTTTTTATATGCAAAATGTCTTTCTCATGGGAAAATAATAATTTTTGCGTTGTTATTGGCGTAATATCGGTGTAATTATTGTCCCTTTCTCTCTGGTATCTAAATTAATCAAAATAGAAATTTCTTTAAATCTACATTTTTCCACTTCTATGGTTGTTGCAGTATCGACGCCACTGTGTAAGCACTCAAGTGTCATTTATTTTCGTTTCCATGGCGACGTTGCTACTTTTTCCGATTTTTGTTGTCATCACTATGGAAACGACTCCGTTTCCATGACAAGTCTTGCTTTTTTTTCACATAGGCGTAGAATGAGGGATTGTAATAGGGAAAAAAATCGTTTCATGCAAAATGCCTTTCTCAGGGGAAAATATTAATCTTTGCGATGTTATTGCGAGCAGTTGGCGTAATTATTGTCCCTTTCTCTCTCGGCATTTGGTCCATAAAACCTATAGGAAATGTTTAGAAATAATAATTTTCGCACGCTTTCGATTCGGTTAATAACTTGCAAATCGCATCGACTTTCCTCCCGTTTAGTAGAGTGTGAAATCCTGAGCGAAATGCGAAAATTTTCGTCGAGGTGACGCAAATTGCGCCGTCAATCTGCTATGACCTAATCTAACAAATGTAGCGGGCACGAGACCGCGAAGGGAGCGAGAGGGGTGCATTGGTATTGTGAAAGTGCGAGTGAGATGGAAATGTCGGGTATGACGTGCACGAGGTCAGCCTTGTGCTGGCATGGCGCGCTGTTTTGGGAAGCTAAGAGAGAAGCCGTTCCCACGCTTCTGTGACGGCATGTGGGGGGCTATAGGGGGTCATGCTACCGCGTGCGACTCGCACCTGCCGTCCGCAACACGTGCTAACACTGCTAAGGAGGAGGGTCTAGCACGGGACAGGGACGGAGTCGGGAAAATGAAATTTTCCTAGAAAAAATTCACTCGGGCACTAAAATCAAAGTCGGTGTTAGTAATTTGTTGAAATAAGGTAGGGGAATGGCCTCAAGCAATTAATTCAAAGGCACGAGCGGAAACTCTTTCACAACTGGTTATATTGTGCAAGAGAGGGTCCAGAGAAGGTGCTTGAGGGGAAAAAAGTACAACTTCCACAGACATCATCCAGGACTTTAAGACTTTTCAAAATTCAAAAATTAATAAATAATCTACATTTTGACAACAAAATTAATTTAATGACAAATTACCAAACTTTATGGGCCAAGTATTTCATTTTTGTGCTTATTTACACTATTACATTGACGACCACTTTTTAAAATTTCACTGTAATGTTCAAATATTTGTTTTTTGTAAAGTAGGTGTTAATATTTTCTGAAAAATCTACTAATTTTCTTATTTAAAATTACAAAAAATCGAGTTGTTAAAAAAACATCTAGCACAGCAAAATTTTAATACAGTTCAATCTTTTTAATTCGACAATCCGGACCTCCAAACAGAGATTATTTTATCTGTTTCAAAAAAACTAGAACCAAATAAGTTGTTTCAAACACTTTATTCACAATATGACTTTTTAGCATATAGTGTTAAATTTTTTTTAACAAAATAATAAAAAATAATAATTTATATTTGTTATAAGGAATAGTGAAAACAAAATTAA